GGGGGGGGGGGGGGGTTGCACGCTGACTATGCGTGGCGTGTTCCCCGCCGAGGGTGCCTTCTAATATTGCGCCCCCGGGTTCTGCCGGCGATGGTCGTCGGCTGGACCCGTTTGAGGGCTTGGCCCACCCGCAGGTACACAGGTGGAGGAAACTCTTCGTATATCGTCCCTTCCCCGCCTGCGAGTGCGCCGCCCCTCCAGGCCGCACAAATGCGTTCCCTTTATCTCCTCCTTGGGCGCTTCTCCCCATCTCGCGGGGCCGTCTTGCCCTCACACTCTCCTCCTCCTGCGACACGGTTGTGTCGTAGAAGGAGATGACGGCAGACCAGCTCTCAACTCCCCCTAGCATGGGCCTGACAAGGGCGGGGAAAAAGTCCGCCCCCACCATCCCGACTAGGACTCGGCGCTCTTGCATCCAATAGGGACAACGCTCATGGGTACGCCACGCCGAGTCCACCCCGGCACCACAATGGTGGCAGCGTGAAGTGTGCTCCCTACCTCTCCTGTGTAGGCATTCACCGAAACAACCATGTTTGTTGAGCACCTGCGTTGTCCTGAAAGACAGCCCCCCGTGAGCGCTGTCTACTCATTCCTGTAAACAGAGTCGGATGGCCTCGGCGACCCGACTTCCCGAGTTGCCCGTCGCTCCCTCCATGTGGATGCTCCACCCAAACAGGAGGCATTGACGCGCCTGCTTCTTGGCCAAGTCAATGTCTCGGACTCGGCTAGGTGTCCCCTAGCCAGGTCCTCCCTCTCCCTACTAAGAAGCTCCTTGATACGCTTCTTGATACGATAATTTTCGGCGTGCATACACGCAAGGAATCCTAACGGGAGGAGATCAGCCAGGACCGTAGTGACCATACGCGACGCCGCCCTATAAGCCCGGGTCAGGCGGACAGCGATCCACCACTGCGCGCGGCGGACCAGCTAAGTTATTCGTTGGTTGTTCGCCACCTTGCCCGCCCAGACTGAGGCCTTGTAATGGGCCACGGAATGAACGACGCCGGCATACAGCCACCCCGCTCCCCTTTTTGGGCCGCCGAGGTTGGGCAGGAGGTTGTCTAAGGCACCCGCCATTCCACCCAACCTGGGGGCCAGAAGCTCAAAGTGCTTCCGGAACTCCCACGTACCATACAAGACACGTCTCAGATACTTGATTGTGATATCCGCTCACGGATACGTCGTCGATCCGGACCCGGACCCCTGGCGGCCACTCCTTTGGTTCATTATGCATGAACATGAGGCCCATCCTTTTTAGGGAATACACCATCTGATCCACCGCCAGGACCAGGGCGTCCTTCCAGCCCTTGCTTCTGGCTAGCATAAACGTATCGTCTGCGTAACAGATGACGGCAGCCGGGGGGAGGGCAAGACGGAGAACCTGTTTGTACGCGACGCTCCATAGCAAGAGGCGCAACACAGATCCCTGCGAAACGCCGCCATAGACCGCCCTTCCACATTGGAGTTTCGCTTTGTTGCGGAACTTCAGTGTTCCATCCCAAAAGCAGTCTCTTATTATGGCGACCAGAAGAGTGTATACCCTGAAGTAGGCCAACCTTTGAATTTGAGAGACTGACAGCTGTACCATTTGGTACAGTAACATTGTTTCTCTCTGTAGTCGCGGTGCGCTCGGGATCGCGCCAGAGATGTGGCTTCCGAACGGGATCGCTGAGCGTTATCTAGGAAGAGGAGAGTGTCGTGAGCGTGGAGCGTCAGGTAACTCAGTGGTTTAGAGCAGTCGCCCGGCAAGCGAAAGACCCGGGTTCGAATCCCAGCCTAGGACAGCGCTCTCGATATTTTTTTCTTTCTGGAACGAAAAAGATACGCAGATCTCGAACGCACGGCGTCCCGCCGCCACCTAGTATGCCCTCCTCCTTCTATGGTGCCGCATTACTCTGTGTTGAGTTTGGGACTACTTCGGGACAGATGCCGGACGAGGCGGGAATGGATCATTCTCTCAAATAACTCCGCCGCCTTGTCCAGTAGGCATATTGGCCTAAATGCGGAAGGGATTTTTCGCGCCTAACCCCCTTCCTTAAGAGGACCAGCTTGGCCTTCTTCCAAGGTCTGGGGAATACCGCAGTCCCTAAACAGGAGGTGAAGAGCCGCATTAGGCGGCCTTCCACCTCTCGAATGGCCAGGGCCCATACCGTGCTCGGGATGCCGTCTGGGCCCAGCCTTTTACCTTTGGCGCCGAGCCTCTTGACGGCTCCGGCCATCTCCATTCCGGTGACCCCGACGTCCTCCCCATCCGCATCTAAGGGAGGGACCTCATAGGGGGGTATATTGTTATCCCCACGCGGAAAGAGGGCCCCCACGATCTCATCAAGGAGGCCGAAGTCCGACTCCATTGGTAGGGGTGCTCACGGGCGCAAGCGCTTCATCACAGTGTGATAGGGGCGTCTCTACGGGTCCCTGTCGATGGTGGAGACCAGATTCTCCCAGGCACGGGCCTTGGTCGTAGTTATGGCTGCCTTGAGGGCTTCCCGCGTTTCGCGGTAGACCCCCCGGCGGACATCCGTCCTATCTCACCGGTCCGTGTCCCTCCTGGCATGAACGGCGGAGCATCTAAATTCGGCAATCTCCGCCGTCCATCAGAATACGGATCGGCGGGGGTGTGGCCGGGACCGAGGCATTGCGACATCGCACGTATCCACCATCATGCCCCAGATTACAGCCGCCTCTTCCTCGATGGCTTGACATGTCCTCCGGAGGGGGACCCGGCTTAATCCATAAGGCCGTCTTTAAGGCGGTCACCAGCAACTCGCAGTCGAACTTTGCGAGGGCCCATCTTCGCAGTCGGGCAGCCTCTTGGTCGCGCCTCAGTGTACCTTTTCCGAGGTGGCGACCAGTCGGACCTCGATGTAGCAATGGTTCAAAACGAGGTTCAGGTTTTTAACCTCGATCACCACTCTCCAACTCGTTACGAGCCGGGCTGCGGGGGGAGATGCCAACATGACATCTATCACCAACTGACCCCGCGGCCCGACAAAGGCGCTCCTTCGGCCCCTATTTAAGACACTGAGGCCGAAAGACGCGACCTATTCTTCCAAGTCTGTGCTCCCGGATGACCGAGGATCTCCACAACGGCGATTCTGCATTGAAGTCTCCGTGCACCAGGACCGGCCTGTGGAGGTGTCTGTTAGCCGGCGCAAAAACTCCTCAAAGTGGGTGCTGTTTTAGGAAGGTCGGGCGCAAACCCGGACCACGCCCAAGGCCCCCCATTCGACCGCGACATATCTCTTTTTGCTCTCCACCACGGAGAAGGGAAAGAAGTTTGCGCTCCAGAAGATCGCTATCGAGCACCCTCCAGACCGCAACGCCACCCGTTATGCATGGGCGATACCTCCGGGGATGTAGCAGGGCCCGGCGGCAGCCCCCAATCCCGCATCGGGCTTGTGGAGATATTGCAGGAACAAGTCCTGCGCTGCTTGAGCGCGATTAAGGTTGGCCTGGAGGAGTAGGGTAGCCATCGCAATCTGGCTCCCCGCTTTCCTCCTCCAGGCCCTGCCTTACTTTTGCCGCGACCGAGGACCCCTGTCGATCCGCGGCACTCCATTCCCTTTGGCATTGGTCTTTCGCGAACTCCTCTGTTTTTTCTGAGCAGGGTCCAGGACCTCGGATTGAGATTCATCTCCTTTTGACACGGGGGGAAGATCCCTTTCCTTTTTCTTCTCTGGGAGCTTGGGGGAGACGTGTTGGAGGACTTCCACCTTCTCCCTCCCTTATCCCCCTTCCCCTTTTTGCCTTCGGACACACGGGTTCGCCCACTCTGTGGCCATAGGGCTTGTGAGCGTCGCGACACACCGGATAGCTCACTGGTGCATTGCACGCGGCAGCCCTGCGACCGGCCGAACCGTAGTGGTAACGAAGACTATTGCGGTCGGTCTTGCCCTTGCACATAGCCCTGACATGGCCCTACTCTAGGCATCTAAAGCACTGAAGCGGGCGCCGTGCCAGTGCCTCTACGCGGACAGAGGACCATCCAACCCGGATGCGTGCTCTGTCCACGATTTTTCTGGCGATCACAAGGGGACACTATAACCACAGCGTCCTCGCATGGTCAGTGCTAGGTTTGACTTCAGTGGCCCTTATATCCCTGGACCCGCAGCCTCCGGCGACGGTCACCGCGGAGACGTCTTCAACAGCGACCGAATCGCCGAGGTCGCGGCCCGGTTGCTGGCCCTCCTCGCCGGATGCGCGTTTCGCACTCCGCGAGGAGTCCTTGTCAGCGAAGAAGGCCGACATTTTACCGGCCAGGACGTCCGCCTCGGCTTGTCCTTCGGAACTGGGGATCCCAAGCACTAGGGCGCCGGCGGCCATCCTGGTGCAGATCTCCCCTATCCCGATCTCCCTAAAGTCAATGTTGTCCCTCGCCCGCCGCACGATGTCCGCGTAGCTGCCTATTGGGCAGTTTACGGCTGGAGCAGCGGCACGAGGAACCCTAGGTATGGCCTTAACTGGCTTCCCGCCCTTGGCCTAGGAGCTCTTGTCCTTCTCCCTCCTGTTTTCCTCGGCCACCGGCTTTTGTTGCCACAGTTTCTGAGGATCGGGTTGAGGGGATTGCGTAGCCCCTCTTCCACCTTTTCTCTACCTTCTCCCCATCACACAGGATCAGGATTTGGACTCGGTAGCAGAGAAGAAATTGGAGGCACTTTCGGACCTTGGTCTGGTCCAGGACGTGGCGCCCTCTCCTCCGCAGGTGCATTGGGCGACACGCAGGAACGTGTCGCCCTGCCTGCTCTTTTTCTTTTTTTTCCTCCCCTTCCGGTCTTCCCCGCCGGGCTGATTTGGCGGAGGCGGAAGCGGGAGAAGATGGGGCGGGAGGCAGATTCCGCTTCTTGCAGCCATCTCCCGCCCCCATCTATCCTGTCCCCGCGCTCGGGATTCCCCCGATCCCGCGAAGATTGAAGTCGCGGCCGCTTGGGTGGGACCACCCCATGTCTCCCAAGATTTGAGGAACAAGAGCCTTCACCAAGACCTCTATTTCTTCTCTATCTCGCTCCGTCGTTCATCTGGAGGCCTGTCTCCGACAGGGAGGGGGTCGGTCCACTCCCGCGGCATTCACTGGTTCCTGTTTAGCGGCCGGGTCCTTTCGATTCTTATCGGTTTTTTCCGATCGATGGATTTCGCATTGTGGGTGTGGTGGTTGACGGGGGAGAGCGTTCTCTGCGCAATATTCTTTTTCACTTTCTTCTCGGAGATCCTCCCCACCTCTGCTAGAGAAAGCGATCGGCGACGGTCGATGTCCCCACTCTCCATCTCCACCCGTATCTTTTTCCTACTCTCAGAGGAGAAAGTGGACAACAGATTCTCTTGCCCCATCCCCCGACCTCTTCTTGGGGTTGAGAGTGCGGAAGAAAAAGACACTTTTTCTCGTTAAGGTAGGAGAAATGCGTTACGTATACCCGCGACCCTCGGGGAAAGATCGCGGGTTATATAGGACTCTCCTCCGCCTTATACGCGGAAGCATACCCATTAAAACCCCTGTCGGTCTCGTCCTCAGCGGCCATAATGGGAGCACCCCGGGAACCGTTTTTGCATTACTTCCGGGGTACTCTCGGCCTCCATTTGTCGGACTTTCCGGACCGGGGTTTTTTGTTTCCCGAACCGGTTCTTTACCTTATTACGACAAGAAGTGGGACCCTCTGTCTCGCCGCGCTCTCCCCTGGCTGTGGATTGGGTTAAGACGGGATCCTAATTTCCCGCTCGGACCCCGTCCCTCGTTGGCATCTTGACCGATTAGGGGGCGAAGTGAGGGCTTTGTGTGTACCTTTCTTCCCTTTTAGGGTCAGGACGCCGTAGCTGAGGGAGGGAGAGGCGACCTCTTTTGTGAAATCGTTCTCTCCTTCTGCGCCTTGCATATATATCGGCTGTGGGGGGACTCCGTCGCCGCCTATTGGCTACGGCGGCGTCGCATCTGCTTTCAGGAGTGTTGTTTCGCTAGGTGTTAAACTAGGTGTTAACACTTTGGCCCCCCATGGGGCCCCAGTTGCCTCCGGGAGGTCACCGAGCGTAGGGACCGTTACACAACAGGTCTTTATATCAACTCCCTACGCGTTTTCCCTCGATGCCGCATTTATGCGCGGGGAATGGAAAGACTTTTCTCTTCCTACGCCTCCCACTTATCTCTTCCTCAGTTTCGCTTTTTTGGCGCCTCTCTTCCTCTTTCCGCGACATGAAGTTATCGCAGAAGGAGGTGATAGCGGACCAAGTCTCCTTTCTCCATAACATGGTTTTGATAATGGCCAGGGGAGAGAGAGGTCTGCTCCCATCACGCCTGTTAGGACCCGACGCTGTTTCACCTAGGAGGGACACTTCTTCAGTGTGTGCTGCGCCGAGTCCACTGTGGCGTTGCAGTGATGGCAGCGGGTGGTGTACTCCTTTTTTATCCTCTGCAGGTACTCACCGAAACAGCCATACCCGGTGAGTACCTGCGTGGTTCGGAAGGATAACTTTCCCTTGGCTCTGCCTATCCATTCCAGTAGACAGGATTGGATGGTTTCGGCGACCCTACTTCTCGAGCGATCCGTCGCCTCTCCTAGGGACATTTGCCACATCTGGAGAAAATATTGACATACCGCCTTGCGCATATGCCCAATGGCCCTGACTAAGTTCTCACGATCTCCCCCTTGTAGGAGTTTCTTTGTACGCCTGCACGTCTTGGTGTGCACCCGAACAAGAAACCTTATTCGGGGAAGGCCCGCCAGAGCTGTGGCGGCCATATACGACGTGGTTTTATAAGCGCGGGTGAGACTGCAATCCAGCGATGTGACTGGTTAACCAGCGCTTTATGCGCTGGCTCACCGCCATCTCCCCCGCCCAGATACGTAACCCATAAAAGGCGACCGAGTGGACTACGTTGACATACAGCTACCGTGCTTTCTTTTTGGGGCTGTCGAGATTGGGCAAGAGGCCGCCTAGTGCGTTTGCTACCCTGCCCAATTTGGGAGCCAGGACCTCAAAGTGTCGCTCAAACCCCCAAGTGCCATGCAGGGTGAGTTCCAAGTATTCAGCTCGGGACCCATCATCACGAGAGTTTCTCTTGTCCGGACCTGGGCCCTCGATAAGTCCCTTCCTTGACCTGTCAGGTATGAACATAACATCGGTCTTTTGAGAGGCCACCTTGAGGTCTATCCTCAGTATGGAGCACACCATTTAATCCGATGCGAACTGCCCGAGGACTAGGACTTTGCTCCAATCCCTTCCCCCGGCCAGCATCAATGTCGTTTGCATAGCAGACGGTGGTACAGCAGGGGCGAAGAGCTGAACGAAGAATCTGATCGTACGCGATATTCCAGAATAAAGGCCCCAACACTGTCCCCTGCGGAACATCGCGATAGACCGCCCTTCTATACTGGAATTCCGCTTTGATGCGGAACTCCAGTTGCCTGCTCCGGAAGTAGTCCCTTACCAGATAGAGAGAAACCCAGTAGTATGTCTTCTCTATCCAGTCTCACGACGGCTTTCGAGAGGGAGTGCACGCGTAAAATTGCGTAAAATAGTCCTCCCCAGAAGTCGTATTGCTCCGGGTGGAACATCGGACTACTCTGGGACACGGGAAAAAAATAGACCTTTTTTTTCTTTGATAAGCCATCAGAAATGCTTTACGCATATCGACCCTCGGAGGAGGAGCGCGGGTTACGTGGGACTCCTCCCCAGGTGAACTCGGGGAGGTTCTACCCAATAAAATTGTGGCAGGATTCGTCTTCAGTGCTTATCAGAGACGCCCCTGGTACCGCCTGAATATTACTTTAGGGACGCCTCTTTGCGTAGTCCTTGAGGACCCATCCTCGGGCCGGGAGATGATTCGACCTGTCGTCCGACCTTCCTTTGACAGCGGCGTAGTGCGACCATAATATCACACCGCTTCCATTCCGGACCGCTACTGCAGGGAGGATGCACCGCCGTATACCTCTCCCCCCCAGCGGTCGGTGTGGGAGGGGAACCTGTTCGAAACAAGTGTTCGCCCTGGACTCAGGTCCCCCTGGCGCCGGCCGTGATGTTCAGCCGGCGTCGTGGGCCCCGATCGTGTTGGTCGGACCGGGGCCTTCACCGCCAGATTCCCCGGGAATGACCCCGGGATCTCTGTCGGCGGCGCCCTTCTCTTTGGCGCCAGGGAGGCAGCCCTCCGGGCGACTTACGGCCCTCTCCTATCCCGCCGCGTCATTGGGGGGCCCCCGCCTATGGCCGCCCCGCCAGCGGCCGTGTTTTGATCGCTGGCCTTCTTTCTCCACCTAGGGCGCATGCGGGACCACCCATGAGGCCGGCCTTCCTCGCGGCATACCGCGTAGGACGCTCTCTCCGTGCAATCCCTTGCGGTGTGCCCAGTTTGGTCACACCGGAAGCAATCCCGACTCCGGTTGGTAGGTCCAGAGCAGAATGCCCGGCCGTGTCCCCAACATTTGAAACACTGGGATGGGCGGTTGGGCAGGAACTCCGCTCCTATCGTTGTCCACCGCAGTGCCAATTTCCCTTCCTTAGCGACGGTCGAAACCGCTGTCAGAGGGAACTGCGTCCACGCTGCTTCCAAATCCCTTGGGTCCCACCGTATGAGGCGTAGGGGCCCAAACGAACCTCCTCCTCTTGGCAGCCTTTGTTTACCGCAAGGGTTGCCTTGACCTCCGAAGGCAGGACCGACTAATCTATCCCGACGAGCCGGATTTCACCTACCTTCGAAGGTCTGGAGATACTCGCCTCTGGCACCACTTCGCGGAGCTTTCTGGCGAGGGCCTCCGCATTGGCCTCCCTGTCCGGGTCGGCCAGTCCAATAAGAAGGTCGCCATCAGCAGTCTTCCTGACAAAAGCCGTCCATCCCCCTATCTTCTCCAGGGGGATGACTCCTTTCGTCCTCCTGAAAGTCTCCGCAAAGGTGAAGCCCCCCCCCCATCTCACCGCCACTACCGTCGTCTTCGGTAGTGACGGGATCGTTCCTGCTGACCGGTGGGAAGGAGCCATACGAGAGCGACAGATCGATGGACCACTCGACGGCGCTCCCCGAGCCTCCCCCGTCCCCGTTTTGTCTTCCAGAGACGGACCAGCTGGTCCGCCTCTGTTTCTTTTTTTTTCTCCTGGATGTCTTCCACTCCTCCTCCTCATGGGGGGTGGGGCATCCCCTTCAGGGACCACGTTCTTAATCCTAGGGAGGAGGGGGGGGCGATATCCCTGAGATGGAATGTCGCCCGGTCTCTCCTTTCCGGGGTGCCTTAGGAAAGGGTGACGTTGCTCTATCTTTCCTCTCCCTCCCTCTTTTTTCTTTTCCCTTTCCTCTCTCCTTCTCTATTACTTCCTTCAGCCAGGACACCTCGCCCATCAAGCGTGCCACCTCTTTCCTTAAGTGTTCCGCCCTGTTATCTATTTCCCTTCCTTTCCATTTTCATTCTCTTCTTTTCTCGTACAGTTTAGGCCTCCTTCAGTGGACGCCAGGAAAGCTTTCTTCATATCCACGAATTTTCGGACCCAGCTGCATACCTCCCTGTCTTTTCCCCCATGCTTCTACATTTTTTGCGAATTCCTCCGCCACTTGCCAGCTCTCCTCAATATACCTTTGCCTAGTCTTCCATCCAACTGATGATAGACCTCCTCCTTCTCCTCCTCTACATCATTCTCATCCCAGTCCAGAGCCTGATCCTTGCACTCGGTCTGGGCCTTGTCCTTTTCCTACTGCCTCTCCTTTTTCGTCTCCTTCTCTTTCCTTTCCTCGTCTTTCCTCTTCGCCTTCTTGGGTTGAGGGCATCCTATCTCATTCGGCTGCCGGAGCACCGACGTACAATGCTTAATGAGGATGGGATTTTCTCCGAGACGAGACGGCATCCCCGCCCGCCTCGGAGCGGAGGTCCCCCCCCCAATGATTTTTTTATCGAGGTTTACTCCTCTAGGCTGGCGGAAAAGCAGACCCTCTCCTAACAGCCTCAGCTGGCCGGGCATTTGTAGTCGGGGTTGCCTTTCCCTACCGGCAGTTAGGCCGAAGCCCTAACGGGGTTGCCGGGCCCCGCGCTGTAATGGTCGAGTTACCCGCACCGGGCGCGCTTCCCTTTCTCTAGTACTCCCGGGCGCAGCTGCCCATTCGGGAGGGCCTTTTAGTCGTCTCATACGACACGCAAGCCATAAGTTGGGGGTATTCTTATACTCCCCCACCCACACGAAAAGAACAGACCTTATATTTAGGACCATTATCACGAATTTCATACTGTTTTACTTAGTTATCAATAATTTAAGGGGGAAACCTCCTTTATCGGGTCAAAAAAATCGATATTTTGGAAATAGTCTTAATCGATTGTTAAACTATTCAAGAATATTCCCTGAAAATTTCAAGTCGATATCTGCAGTATTTACGAAGTTACGAAGTTAAAGCGGACGGGTCGGGTGACGAGTTCAGACGGGCCTAGCGATCCTCGGGCGGTCGCGTTTATACCTGCGTTTTCGGAGCGTGTTTATACCTGCGTTCGAAAAGTCCGTTGGTAGAAATTTTATCTGTCTTCCCTTTCAAACTTGTTTTGACCTACGATCAGTTCGCTTTCGTCTCTTGTCGAGTGAATACGTTGCTGAATGCAGCATGACTTCGTATCCGAAAGCGACACACGGGCAGTCCAGACGTTCAACGAGGCCTCGAAAAAGGAAATCTCCTTGGAGTAAAGATCAAGAAAATGAAGCCAAAGAAGAGGAAATTAGTAATACGAGTGCTTCCAGTAAAAAACTAAGCAGTATAATGTAATGTAATGTAATGTAATGTAATGTAATGTAATGTTTTTGACGCAGAAGTGAATAGGGCTCATGCGTATAAAATTATAGATTTTCTAAGCGTTTTTCAAACGCTGGCGCAACTGCTTATATGTCGAAAGTGCTTGAAAAATGTCGAATTTAGAGAATCGGGAATTCGTGGTTTCGGTTTTAAGATAGTTGTGTTGTGTTCTTGTGGCTCTACACAGATTGATTCTGGACCTCTTATAAATACCGGTTATGAAATTAACAGAAGAATAGTTTTTGTTATGAGACTTTTAGTCGTCTGCATTGCTGCGTATATTGCTGCATCGATATTTAACGAAGGCTACAATGCAGTGTTAATGATAATGAACAAATTGGATATCGAAATTGGGATCCAGGCACACAATTTTGCCATAACGAAGGACGAGAAGCGAATAAACAGACAGAACCGCCGAAGCTATAGCAGCTCAAAAGAGACAAGAACGGCTCGTAGGATGGAGATGATGGCTCAAAACGAGTTCTACGAGGAAGTGGAGGGGCTACTTTATGCAGCTGGAATCGCTGATTAGCGTGAGACTGCCGTAAGTTGTGAATATGTAGTATTTTTATGCATCTAAAACTTTAAACGCGTTTTTCTCGAAACACGTTTTTTCGATTTTGTGTACACGATTAAGAGAAATCTACTGAACCGATTTGGCTTTATGACCTCTCATTTTAAAGATAATTAAATTCTCTTCGATGTGACATTGTTTTTTGAAAAAAAATTTTTTTTATATTTTTTTCGTATTTTAAAGTCGATTTTTTTTAACGAAAAACGCACTTTCAATTTTAAACTGTGTAAAAACATGCAATTTCGACTTTTTCTTTAAAAAATCGAAATGTCACATAGAAGCTAGTATCATAAACATGACAAAAAATTTTGGTTTTTTTGTTTCAGATCAAAATTAAGGACGCTACAGTGTACACAGCGGAGACACTCCATAAGCAAAGCGATATTAATATGGCGTCCGTTTTTATAGTAAACATGTTTTTTTTTTGAAAAAATTCCTGTGTACTCTTTGATTGTGTATTAAATTGTCATAAAAATTTCAAAACGTTTCAAGTTATTATACCCGAGAAAAAAATTCGTGAAAATCATGTATTTTTCGACCGTGTAAAGGAGGTTTCCCCCTTAATGTGGCACAAGACGAATTTCAAAATTATGGATATTTGGACAGTTATGTGGATGAGTTAAATGCAGAAAATATTGATGTAAGTGTAAATTATCATTAGTTTAGTGTAGAGTTAGGTTAAATATGTCACTAAATGACAATTTTTGTTTAACAATAGTTATTTTATAAATAAATACTATTTAAATTTTTATTTTAAATAAATAAATTTTATGTATAAAATTTTCAGCCTGATAATGATCCCAAAGTGTTCGAAGAAATATTAATATTAGAGGTACAAGAAAGACCATATTTATTGGACCATAGATTAAATATCCAAATAAGAGTTATGAAGTATGAACATTATACGAAAAGCTTGGAAAGAAGTAAGTCAAGCCCTTAGTATGTATATTTAAAGAGATATTTGATTTATATTTTATTTACTATAAGTTCTTATACATTGCTGCATTTATCATTTAATATATTATAATTAATATTATTTCTCCTTACAAAGATACAGATCCACACATTTGCCAAAAAAAATGGAAAAATTTACAAGATACATTTCTGAGGAAATATAAAGAGGAGAATAGTTATATTGCAAGTGGTAGTGCAGCTGCAAACAAACTTATGACCAATTGGAAATATTAGAAACAAATGCAGTTTTTAAAAAGTACTACACAACATAGAAGGTAAACAAAAAATTTTGAAAGACACTACCCATGTAGCAAGGTGACATCTAAAGACGTCATCTTGCTACCTGGGTAGTTTGTTGAAATAATTATCATTCCTCTATCCATAAACAATTATCATTCTCTATGCATTTTATTTTATATGTACAATTCATTATTTGGCCACATTTCTTAGTCACACTCTATATTTTATAGGAATTATATGATAAATGCACGATTTAGAACAAAAAATAGTTAACATATTTATGTAGACACCTATAGAAAGAATATTTTCGTTAATCTTTTTAGGACGTTCAGTATATATAAATGGTTAAAGATGTAGATGAAAAATCACTTGAATTTTGTCTAAGAAAGAATGTAGACGCACAACAGATATGGATAAAAGGCAGAACTTCCCCATCATTACAAACAAGTAACAGAGACTTATATTTATTTTTATTTTAACGTAATCTGAGACGTATTACAATGTTACTTTTACTATTTTAGTTCCCACAGCTACTCGGAGTAGAAATAAATCTACTAGTAAATCTACATTGCTGTCACAACCACCGACATAAAATTGCGCAACATAATATTTCTTATTTACAGTCAACATCGCCACTCTTCATCGTCTTCTGTGATATATAGTACAATAAAAAGAAAAAAATTTGAAGAAACTATTAATACTATTTCTAAATCTAAAAACTCATGGTGACGAGACATTTCGTCTTGTCACGACGACCCGACCGAACAGCAGTCGGGTCGTCTAACAGGCGCGAAGCGCCAAATAAATAAAACATATGCCGCCGCCGAATCGCGACGCCGCCGGATATTCCCTCGCGTGGGGGAACGGCGTACGCACCGAAAGCGCACAGCGACGAGTATATAAGCGCCGCACGATAAGGATAAAGCACTAGTCCTGAGGCGAGCGTACTCATCCGCAGTACGATCACCATTCCTACCTCCTCGCTGGCTCACACCAGCATCCTGACCCCCGACCAGGAAGGTGCGCTAATCACCTGGACGGACACCCGCTCTCTGGTAGGCACGGAACCCGAAGTGGCGCGCTCACCGCCTTGGTCAAGCGCTCCTGACCTCCCTGTCGACCAGAGAAGTAGGTATAGTAGGCGGGTTATAACCCATGGTCTTCTGAGGGGGGGTGAGGGACGGGGGGGTACCGCGGGCGGGGAGTATGACGTTGGGGGTATGACGTCAGGGGTATGACGTCAGAGGGGGGGTATGACGTCACCGCGGAGGGGGGGGTATCATCGGTCGGTAATTGGGGGGGATATACCGATGTTACCGGCGGTCGGTAATTTTTACCGATATTACATAACATTTAATTACATGATTTTTACCAACATATAATTATACAATACCGATAGTACCGACGATCGGTAATATATTACCGATATTATATACCAACATTTAATTTTTTTACCAATATTTAATTTTTTACCAACATATATTTACATAATTTTTACCAGAATATTTACATAATACCAACGATCGGTAATTTATTACCGATATTATATACCAAAATCTAATTTTTTTAATCAGCACATATATATTTTTACATAATTTTTACTGTCATATTTACATAATATTGATGATCGGTAATTACCGATATTATATAATTTTTTCTATCTGCTTTCGATAAATCATTTTACCGATCTGCGGCGGTTTTCGCGGCGCTTTTTTTCGCGACGGTTTCCGCGGCGGATTTTGCGGCGGTTATGCGCCGCCCGCGCCGTCCGCGCATTTTGCAGCGTGACTTTTTAGTCACAGCTGCAAACTCTAATATTCTGCAAACGTATGCATTCGACAATTAGCCAAGAAAAAGAACGTGACACATGATATTCTTATTATTAATGAGCACGTACACTGTGTCCCCGCGACAAGTTTTTGCGTGTTATACATCACTCGCTGCGCTCCACAAAAAGATCGAATAACATTTTAAGACTATTTGTGGTGTATCGAGAAAATAGGGAAAAAAGGAGTAATACAAATAAGCAGCAGATCTTGGGATTAAAATTTATATATTTTGAAAGTGTTACATGTACAGATTATTTGTTCAATACTTCATACATAATATTATTCATTGCGCACCCCAATAGCTCGCAATCGATGAGTGAACCACCCTCAAAGTCCCCGCTATTGCGTATCGTCGATATAGCATTATCCGTTTCGGTAATATTCTTCTCTCGAAGAATTTTTACAAAATTTCTAAATTTTGTATTAACAATGTGTGTATTTTCATATAACCATGAGTACATATGGTCAATGCAATGCTCGAGAGTAAACAAATGTTTCACTGTAGCTGGTTGCAAGTACATGCAGTTACCGGATAATGTGAGTTTTAAAAGTTTCTTGCCGTACATTGTGCACCATTCCACCGCCAAATCGTGAATCCATAGCGGAGAGGATGACACCTCGGTTGTTTGCAAAAGTTTTAAAATATCTTCACGTTTTGCCATCAATCCTCCGAGTGTAAGGCCAATTGATTGCCACGATTGTCACTGAGGACTAGTTGCACTGTGGATACCAGTTCTACGCTCCCAATCTCCAAGTACTTAAAAGACGTTGACGTCAAGGCATATCTTCGCCCTAAAATACGGGCTGTACAACGAGATTGCGATACACTGTAAAAACATAAATAATTTAACGCGGTTGCAATACACAATTAAAGATAAATGATTCACAAGAAGATAATTATTGAGACTTACCTTTTTTTCTCGTACGGTGGAGCATCATCTTGCACGGGTACGTAATAGTTCATACGTTTTCCTTCAACACTGTGCATTCTTCTCAAAATAATAATTGTCCACTAAATGTCTTTGTTGCGACTGAAGCAACGAGTGACTAAGAACCGCTTTAAATACATTTCAAAATTCCTCCCCACCAACCGAAAGCAGTGCATAATAATAATAATATAAATGAGACTCACCTAATTTTCATCTACATCTACTGTACAAATATATTTTATCAAATCATTCAACAAATCTCTGATACGGCGCCGTAGATAACCAATTGAATACTCATATATCGATTGAGTGTTTCGCGCCATACTGCATCATCGAAAAAATCGATTTCCGATATTTATATCAAAAGTGCAGTCCAAAAGTATTCATGTAAGATCTCTCTCTTTTATGCGTCACAATGCAGCATTTTTGTGCTGACACATCGATTTGCAGTCGACAGTTAGATGCGCAGAAAATGTGAAACATGATATTATTATTACAAATGAACACGTGCGACAGTAAGATTCGCAGAAAATGTGAAACAAGATACTATTACGAAGGTCATAGAAGTATACATATTTTGCACATTTGCAATCCCTCCTAAACGAGACACATTTTTGTTAGAAAGAGATGGAGATATACTGATGATATATATATATGTTCAGAGTCGTACTATGCCAATATGCATAGCAGCATTTGTAAATCTAGTGTGCACTTCGTAAAAGAAATGGAAGATTTTGCGCAAATCGAGCGAGAATTGCGGGAGCAGTCGACTCGACTGAGTTCGCGAGACGAATACGACGCGTGGGTGCAAAAGTGTAACAAGTGCCTCGAGTTGTTGGAAGAACATAGTCGGGCTAAACGACCGCGATTATCGATCGGTATTAGACAGTCATTGATTGCTCGAATCGCGCAACTCGAGGGGTTAAAAAATACGTTGCGCACACGTTTCGTTCACGCGGGTGCAGGACACAATACGAGAGATGCAGGACTCGTTTGGCGCGAGATCGATACCGCGTTCGATAACCGCATACTAACCGGAATTGTCACAACGCGAATCACATCGAACCTCGCTAATTTCTCGAGGATGCAAAGAATATGGTGCTCGAGCGCATACGGGATGCA